CGCTCTTTCCTGCCTATGCAGGGGGTCGGACTCGATGATCTATTGAGGTCCCTTCCGACCCTAACATCTATGAATCTATGAAAACCCCATATCCCCACACACCCACTGCCCCCCACAAACCTGTACCCACTCCTGCGTAATATACAAGAGTAAGACTTCATTTTTAAGCTATTGTGCAATCACCTTTATGTACACTACACAAATGCATGTGAATCAGGACAAAAATATTTTTTGAAATCAAATTAATGAATGTTGTAGGTGTTCAATTTTTAGAATATAATTTGGTATTTTTCTGGCTCCGAGATGGCAAAACTCCTTGCTGAAAGGAGTACTTCTGGGGGACAAGGGGAGAGCCTTCTGGTGGCAAAGGTCAGGGGCTAGGGGCAGGACTTCTGGTCCCAAGATAGCCACCAGGGAGCAGGGCACCTGTCAATGGGTAAGGGATTGGAGTTAGCATGTGTTAATTGTAACATGTAAGTACACCTTAAGAGGTGGAAGAACAGGTTTTAAATCTCTCCTGATCCTAGGTTTTGAATCCACCTCCCTCTGGTATCTTAACCAACTGGCTATATTGGAGTTGATTGCTCTCAGTTTCTCTTGTCGACACTGTTCCACTTAGTAAAGAGATTTAAATATTTGCTAAACAGGGATTATAATTTAGGTCAGTGTCTCTGACCACCACATTAGAGAGTCTCAGTGCATATTGAAGTCTTGCAGACAAGGGGGAACAGATTCAATATCAGATTTTGAAGAAAGGCTACTGCATGATATCCAGCTGCCTAGGAGTCAGGGCACTTCCCTGGGAGGTAGGGGTGTGAGTTAAAACATCTGCGCACACAGAAGACCCCTAGAAGACATGTAACCCCTGGGTTATTAAGTAAAGGGACAGTTTCAGTCACCTTTTTCTTTAGCAGTTTGTGAATCTAATGTTAAAAAATTGTGTCAAATTCATTAATAGTTTTGGAATGACTGAAGCCACATTTTTGGTGAATACATTTTCCCCTGGAAAACTGACACGGTACTAAGGACTATCTATTATTATCCTCTTAAAAGTTTCCAATCATACCTTTATTGGAAAAGACAGAAACTGCCAAATGCGTCAGTTTCCAAACACTGTCAGTGAAGGTCAGCATTATTTTTTAGTGATGAATTAGCCAAATGTATGAATAAAATTTGATGGGTTTCTTTCTATTGCCAGAACTGATTAAAAAACTCTAGTAACATTCAATTTGTGTGTCACTGTAAGGTTTTCTGTCAGTTACCAACAACATGCAGAGTTAGATTATGAACAATCCTGTTCTAAAATCCAGGATGTAAACCCTTATGTTTTAAAAACACAAGATAACCACTAATTGCTGGGTGGTAGAAAAAACTTCCTCTCTTGGGAGATTATTCCATAAACGTCAGCTATGGGTTTCCATGCAGTCTGTTTAGCCACAATCATTTAGCGCTACTCATTGAGACAGCATAAAGGAGTGGGTAAATAATACAGCTCATCCAGTATGCCAGTTCCTGCAGAGTATTCTTAATCAACATTTGTGATATACGCTGTCCAGACTAGACACATTAGGAATAGATTTGTGACCTGTACACCTACTATTAAGGTTGTTAGTCCTAAGAATTTCCATTGAAAATATGCTTTCTTGCAACTCAACTAGAAAAAGTTTTTGCAATCTCAGGTTTGATTTGATGTTTCAGAACATGGGAAATGACATAAGAGTTGTCCAGAATTTACTAGTTTTCTTGCGAAGTGCCAGTTATTTTGTTTCTATTCTTGGTTTTTCACACCTCTCAGTGTTTCATTCTGAGCATGAACATGGCAAAACAAAAAATAAAAAAATTCTGGCAGTTTTAAAAATTTTGCCTGGTTTGGACTCTGAGCATTTATATACATGCTCCGGGAGGTGGGTTGCTTTAATTAGCGCTGTTCCAAGAGCTGTGCTAATTAAAGCGCCTAGAGCGTCACCTGTATCAGTGTCCCCGTGCCAAAAAAAATGGCAGCAGGGCACTTTAAACAAAAGCTCGTTGAATGAGCTTTAAAGCACTCCACCATAACATTTCAGCACAGGGATGCTGATACACTTGACCAGGAATCCTGGTTTTCTCTGATTTAAAAAAGTCCCCAATTTTTAGTCAAAAAAAGTAACCCCAAATCCACATTTTCCCATGATTAAAATGAAAAAATACTATATATATAGTGAAACACCATATAGAAATATAGCTATATAATATTAGTGGTGTTTCATTTAAATAATGGAAAAACGTGGATTTGGAGCAGGATCGGGTCCCTTGGGTAAAATGAAACACCATTATATATATCTTTATATATTAGTGGTGTTTCATTTAGATCATGGAAGTGTGGATTCAGAGTTACTTTTTTTTTTAACCAAAAATTGGGGATTTTTTTAAAATCAGAGAAAACCAGGATCCCTGCACATGATGCTGGAGTCTACTGGAGCACAGTAATTACAGCACGTTGGAGCAGCCTCCCTGCACATGTATAGGGGCCCCAGTGTGAAACGCTGTTGTTTGGTTTTCTTTTTTTTAAGCTGGATGACCTTAGTAGAAGTGATCTTATATATATTTCTCTCTATGTGGCTGTTGTGAGAAAATGGGAGAAGTGGCAAGGAGACACAATAAGGGGTAATACTAATTCCCATTTTACTTCGTATTTCTTTCTACATTCAGTATACATAGTGTCTCAGCCTCCAATTGTTGTAGCAGGAATCTTTACAAGCAAGCCAGCATCCACAATATGTCCATCTTGTCGCCAAGCCATTACTACACAGGTTGTCTACAGACTGGGTAAACTATCTTATCTTCTATGTTCCGGGATGTGTGCCACTGGGTAAGCATTTGTTTATTTTACTTTAAAGACTGAATTACCAAAATATATATTTATAACAGATTGATAGTTCAGCTGAAAAATCTCTCTCTTCCTAGACTGACTCTTAGGCAGACAGAACCAAAAGAGCAGCGCTGTACTGTATGATCTTACCAGTCTCAACATACTGTATGATCTTACCAGTGTGTGTCCAGTACAGTTGTAAGGTGTGAATAAGAGATGAATTGAATCAGATATTAACCTTCTCATTAGGCAGTCAAAAGAAACAGAATTTATACAGCCTTGTCTTCTTTCCCACCAAAAGTTACAGTCACTTTTTCACTCCTCTGGCTGAATGAACGTAATGATTTACGCAAAGTGGAACAGTCCAACAGATGATTCTGAGAGACATCTGTGTCAGAATGATCAAATAGCCCTATGGTTGGGCATTCACTTGGGGTTTGGGAAACCTAAATTCAAGTCCTTGGCTGAATTAGGACTTGAACCTAGGTCTCCCCTATTCCTTTGGCTCTACTGGGATCTATTTCTATTTCTTTCTTTAAAAACTTCAAAAAGTCCTTTTTGAACATGATGTCCTATGGGATTTTTTCACAATCTCTAAGTTTGTGGGACAGAACATCTATTTTCTGACAATTCCACTTATCAGAAACCATGCCAGCCCAGATCACTTAGGCTTGGAACAGACGTTGCATTTGTCCCTGGATAAATTGTGCGTTTGTCCAGAAACAAAGTTATTTTATAATTGGTGTGTACATGCATTGCCCTTCTAATCAGGGTTTCGTGAGAGGCTGAATGCAGTGCTGCTTTTCTGCCATTAATTCAATGATGCAATCCTGGGATAAGTGTACAGATGTATTTTACAATATCCCAGGATAAGCTGTTACTATTTCTTATCTTGGAAACTTCTTTAGGATTTATCCCAAGATAAGTGCAATGTCTGTTTGAAGCCTCAGAGTGGTACACCACTTCACAAACACATTTTTCTAGGCATGTTTTACCTACAACTTGGGCTAAAAACAGATGTTGGATTTCTTCCAGGACAAAACCTTTTATTCTGGGATCCTACAGACCTACAAGACCACTGTCCCACTTTAAGTACCTGTGAAGTATCCAACAGTTAAAATAGATATTGCATTTGAGGCAATTCTGACTGATCCCAGGCAAAACTTGGGACTAACACAGCTTGCCCCAGGGGTGGGTAAAATTCAGCCTGTAGGCTGAACTGCTCCACCAAATGATTTTGTCTGGCCTGCGGTGGGTCCCTTGGTCCTGCTAGGCCCAGGTACAGGGCACAGCCTGGGCCATGACGCATGCAGCCAGTCCCACCATTCCCAGACACACAGCAAGGCTGGAGCAGCACAGTGACTGGACTCGATTCCTGGCAGCCCCAATCGTGGTGGCTCCTGGCTGCCACCTCCACTGGACCCAGCCCTGCTGCCCAGGCACCCCAGCCTGTCTGCTGTGCACCCACCGCTAGAGGTGGGACCTGCATGTGGCTGGGATGGGGCTGTGGGTGGACAGGGAGTAACATCCAGGAGTGGCATGGATGGGCAGGGCTACAATCATGGGGCAGTGACAGCACAGGGCTGGGGCCCAGACCAGAGCCATGATCCACTGCCTGCACACCCGTGACAGGTGCTGGCTCTGTGGGAAGGGGAGTGCAGGGAGCAAATTCCAGCTCTGCCCCAGGCCCCAGCCCCACACCGTCACCACCCACCCATCCCACTTAGATGCAGCTCCCCGACTGCCCGCCTGGCCAAGAGCCCCCTGCCCACATGGGTCCTGGTTGGTCTCCATGGAGACCCTGGGATCACAGGGCAGTAACAATGTGGGACTTGGGCTTGGGGCAGAGGTGCAGTCTGCTCTCTGCTTTTCCCTGCCTGTAGAACCGGTACCCACTGTAGAGATGTGCAGTGAGTGGATTGTGGCTCTGCCCCAAGCTCCAGCCCCACGTTTTCACAGCCCTGCAATCCCAGCCCCGTCTGGCCCAATGCAGAGAAGAGCCACTTAAGGAGTTTTGGTGAGCTGCTGAGGTGGAGGGGATGCTGACCTGGCCCATGACAGATCAACAAAACTCCCTATGTGGTCCTCCAGCCCAAATAATTGCCTGGCTTACACACTTAGCTTGTCCCAGGAATGAAGGGTAATCACCATGAATTAGCTGCAATTGTCCTGGGAAAAAAGTGTTGTGTCAGGCTAAAAACAGATGTCAGATTTCTTTCAGGACAAAGCCTTTTAATTTGGGATCCTACAGACCTACAATCCCATTGTTTCACTTTAAGTACCTGTGAAGTATCTGAGTTAATTTTTTGTCCTGGGATAGTCATAGCCAATTTGAGTTAATTGCCATTCAAACTACTGGTGTAAATTATTGTCCCATGTCTGTTTTGATGCAAGTCAAAACCTAAGACAATCTGACCCAAATGTGATGTCTGTTTTTAATCCTAGAATACTTTACAGGTACTTAAAGTGGGACAAGTACCTCGCTGGGGTAAGCACCTTGCTGGGCTCACTTGACCCCAGTTGTTTTCCTGCCTAGAGGAGGTTGGGGGGGGAGGCAGGGGCAGGGCTGGACCCAATGATCTGTAAGGTCCCTTCCAGCCCCTAATAATCTAGGATTCTATGAACCAGGATAAAAGGCTTTGTTACTGGAAAAATCCAATGTCTGTTTTTACCCCTAAAACAACACCTTTCCCTGGGACAACAGCAGCTAATTTGCAATAATTGCCACTCAGGCTATGCCTGTAAAGACAGAACTAGATACTGCCTTTCATTGCCTCTGCCATTATAAATTTTCTTTTGTTGCATACCTCTCTCATACACCATTTGGCTCTAGGTGCTGTTTAGGCTGTTGCCTCATACCGCTCGTACTGAAGGCCTGCAAAGATGTGGACCACTACTGCCCACGCTGCCAGTTTCATATCTTCAGATACAAAAGGATTTAAGAAACCTGTGCGACTGTTTAAAGCCAAGTCACTGCTTTTGCTACTGATGTCAACAATTCACAGATAAATGCATTTTTTGGAAATAGGCTGAAGTGGCCCTCAGCAAGTCCCAGCAGGCTGGCACATTGGGAGCTGTCAGGGCATCTGATAGCTTTGGAAAGCACCTTACAAATAATTCCCTGGCTTTTGCCTCAAGTTTGTGTTTTGACAATTAGATGCCCGTGCTTTAAATTACAGGGGCTCAAATTTTTTGGCCTGGTGGGCCTGACTGGCAGTGCCCAGTCCATCCACAGGCCGGATCCAGGTGGTGTCCTCAATTCGGTGCCTGGTGGGAACCATATAGCCTTGTAGAGGTGGGCACAGCGGGGCAGCTGGCCCTATTGAAGCCCCATGGAGGAAACGAGCTTGACCCAGCCCTGCAGGGAGAGAAGGGGCTGTGGCCAAGCCCCAACACCCACTGCATGGAGCAGGAGGAGGAGGAGATGTGGCCCAGCTGCAATGTGGGGATGAAACGGGTTGCAGCCCTACCCAGGGCTTGAGGCTTTGGCAGGGGGAGGGCGGCTATATTCATGACTGTGCTCCCGTGCCAAGTGCCAGGCCCTGTCACACCCTGCTGCATGAGAGGGAGGTGCACTGTGCTGTGGGGGCAGCCCAGGGGCCCTGCCAGTGCCCACCCTGCTTCCCCGCTCCCACCTGCAAGTGCCAGGGGCTGTGGGCAGCATGGCAGGGATGCACCTGTGCACGGGGGAAGGGACTGCCTCGTGGGGCAGCCGCTGCACCCCCTGCACTTGTCAGCCATGGAGGCCCAACACCAACAGCTGCAGCGTCTGCACTGCAAGGCCCCAGTGGTTGGGCGAGGGCGGGAAGCACCTGGTGGGTAAAACCGCACTGCATGGGATGGCTGTGCCCCCTCAGCCTTGCAGGCAGGGGAGAAGTGCCACTCTTGCACAGCGCAGCCGATGGGGCCCTAGCCTGTGGTGCAAACCACAGAGCTGAGTCTGGGCTCGGTGACAGGCAGGGAAGATCCCGATGCTCTCACTGTGCATGGCAGACGCGGGTGGGGAAGAGCCCCACGGGGGCCGAGCACCAGTGACCAACCCTCTGAAGGGGGAGATGGCCTTTAGCAAGGGGCTGCACAGCCTGCCTGCAGGACCCTGCTCTCCACTCCTGATGGCAGGGTTTCAAACTTGGGACAGAAAAGTGACTAATTAAATAATAAATAAATAATAATGACCCAGTTCAGCTCTTTGAGGTGGCAGCCCTCTCAAAATTACTGCAAAACAGCTCTTTCCACAAATGGGCTGCTCTGGGGAGGAGCTGCAGGACCTTGACAGAGGGACAAGAACAGATGTCCCTGGGCTGTAGCATCCCAGGCGAGGTCCCACAAAAGGTATGTCCAGCTCAGCTGCACCCAGCCTGAAAGATAATGGGAAAGCTACTGAAAGCTATTTTCACTTGCCTGAAGTGCTTCAAGACTAGACGGCAGCTGCAAGGTATTTCTTCTCCCAACTGATGTTGAGGCCCTCCTCCATTTAGAACTTTTGGCGATAGAAGAGTAATAATGCCAAAGAAAACACCTGCAGCAGATGCTTTCTTATTTCTGTGGAGAGGTGAGTATACCCCTATATCCAGGCTCTGAAGGGCCAGAATATTGAACATTTTGCCATAAAGTAGTCGCAGTTAAGTCGTTGGGAAACCCAGGAAGGTGACTGTTTCTTCTGTTTCAATGGCATCATTTGGTCTGAAAGTTCACTTTGAGAAGACAGAGAAACTATCTTTGCAGGACAGAAATCAAATCTCCCTTTGCTCATGAAGCAAGATCAGGTGTTTGAGGGATGCTGATTTGTTTACCTGTCTGAAAACAAGTGGAACAGAAAGAAGCTTGGCTGCCCAGACCAGACTGAAGTCGTGGGTTATACAGAAATAAAAAGGACCCATATGATTTGGCAGTCCCCTGCACATACTCCACCATCTGTGAACTAAAGGGGAGGATGCAGAAGGGAGCTCAGTTCCTTCAAATATCCTGTTCAAAAGGTGCCAGGTATTCTTATGTCTGCAACGGTCCACCCCTTTTGAAAAAAGGTCATTGGTTGGGCAACCACCCATTAGCTCCAGGCATATCTGGGTATCCTCAGTTTCCTAGTCTCTTATCAGACTGACTTTTATCCTTGATATAACACAGACTGAACTCATGGCCTTGGTTGGCTGTCATTGCCTTGAGATTGATAGCAGGACATACGCTAGATGTTTCGGAGGCCTTTGACACAGCCAACCATGAGGTTCTGATTAGTGTTTACAAGACCCAACGGATATTGGCAGGACTGCTCTTTCCTAGCAGGGGGTCCTAGAGGACACTGATGGATGAATGCTTGTCATCCCTTTGAGATCTTTTCTATGGGGTCCCCAAGGCGCCATCTTGTCACCTCTCTTGCTCAAAGTGTTATATGAGGCCATTGGGTGAGATTGTCTTTTCTGTGCCTGGCTGCAGCTGGGGATTGGATGCAATTGAACCAGCTGAAACTGAATCTAGGTAAAACAGAGGACATTGGGGTGGGTAGACCACTTGATCTGGGGAGGATTGAGACACTGATCATTGAAGGGTTCAGCCTCCCCATCTCACTCAGGTTTGCAGCCTTGGACTGCTTCTGGATCATCTGCTGCACCCTAGACCTTTTGCACACACCTCTCCAACCATACCCTCCTGGATCAGCAGCGGCAGGGGGGGCCCCCCCCCCCCCCCTGCCCTGCCTGGGCAGCACCTAACCCTAGCCCCATTCCCTCCCTCAACACAGGGGGCACTGCCCTGCCCCCCCCTTTCCCTCCCCCTCCCCCTTTCACCACAACAGACTTAGCAGCTGCATGGAGCTCTCCATGCTGCCAAGCTGTGCTCCTCGCTGCCTGTGTTCTGCGGCTGTGCACACGCATGGGTATTTGTGCGCCACATCAGGCCGATTTACGATGTAGCCAAATTTCTTTATATCAGTGCTGATCCAATATTAGAACAATGTATCGGCGTACCTCTACAGATCTTCACGTGATGGCCTTCCACCAACTCCATTTAGTGGAAAGGTTGCAACCTGCTCTTTCAGGTTCTGATTTGGCCACCATCATTCAATACCTTTCTAACCTCAAGTCTAGACAATTGCAACGTGCTCTACAGGGGCTGCCCTTAAAAACCATCTGGAAGCTGCAGCTGGTGCAGAAAATGGCAGGAGCACAACTCCAATCCTTCAGCATCTGCACTAGCTCCCAAGAGCTTTCCAGTGCTGGTTTTGACCTATAAGGCCTAAACAGTTTGGGTCTTACATACTTAACAGACAGCCTTTTCCTTTGTATCTTATCACAACCCCTAAGTTCAGCCAACAGCAACCTCCTGCAAGTAACATCAGCAGGGATCCTGGTTTTCCCTGATAAAAAAGCGCAAATTCTTTGATATCCCCCCCCAAATCTATGATTAAAATGAAAGGCCCCTCACTTCCCGCCCACCCGTCCTGCTGGTGCCCCTCACTCCCCCCCTGCCCCACAGCCCCCTGCCCCAGCTAGTGCCCCTCACCCCACCAGCCCTGCTGGTGCTGCTCGCCTCCCACCCACAGCCTCCTGCACATTTTACTCCATTTTTCCATGGGAGATGGAAAACCCAAATCCCTGACCATCAGTATGTCAAAGTTCCCTTGGCAAAAATGGGTCGGTGGTTAATCTTGGTAGTTGCTTTCCCAGCTCCGGAACTCCCTCCCTCTTGAAACCCACCAGAGCCCAAGCCTGGACATCCTCCAGGAAACAGCTTTCTTTGGGTGGGCTTTTAGAAAGTAAAACTAGGCCTAGATACTGCTTAGTGAGCCTTGCTCTTACGCTATTCTAGTTTAATTTTTAAAGTTTTGTTACTCTTTTGCTTTATAAATTATTCTGTTCTCTTACTGTAAACTTCCTGAAGCCTTTGTTGGGAAGCGTGGCATATAAAAATCACACAAAAATATTTCCAGCCTGAGGTTCAAGCATGAGAAATTTTAGTTCCAAAGGGATATTTTTTTGGAGAAGCAGAGACTGCAGAAAACATGTCCAAGAGGTTTTAGTATACCCAATTTAAATAAAATGCTGAAATATTGAGTAACAATAAATTTTTCAGTCCAATTCACTGGGCTACTACTGCATTACTTTTTATCTCTATTGTACAGGTTCTTCAGAATTAAACAGCTGAAATTATGTCAGAGAACAGGATGTTAGGATATGCCAGATATTTGTACTTGCACTTCATAGCTTTGTGGGAAATTATCTGAAAAAGTCACGTGACAAGTGTAAGACTTAGCTGGTTATACATGTTATGACACTTTCATTCTTAATTCATTCTGAGGACAGTTTTTGATGTCACATGCCAACAGAGTCTGCATGAGACCCTCACCTGAAATGTTTAAAAACCTCTCCTCTAATTTTCTTCTTCTCAAAATCCTGCTGTAGAACAATCATGAGTCAGCTTGTTGGGGCAAAGAAATTCTGTTTTTCTGATTTTAGAAGTAGCCTTTTGCAAGCATGGATCGGAACACAGTTTTGTCCCCATATACAGAGGCAGGCTGGTTTAGATTAATTTTGTAAGAATTTTTTTTTGAGAGAGAAAAGAATTAAATTGTCACCTGCTGATTACACCTAGGAAACCTAGGAGGTAAGGAACCCATGCTTCAGGAACAAGAGGTTTTCACTGTGATCACTATGACAGAGTGAGCATGAATTTGAACCTGGGTCTCCCATACACTAGTGGTTTCAAGTCACCAAGGCAGCCACACGGCATGTTCTTCCTTCTGAAATAAAAAGTCCAGGTTTCATACCAAACATTAAGAGGGCATCTGTTTATTCAAAAGTATTTTCTTTGCTTTCATTTGATATGGGGGGCGGAATCAAAACCCTGTAAATTACACACTTGAAGGGAGAGAGAGGCTGCAACTAGATTTAGACAGACTACAAAAGTGGGCAGATGAGAATAGGATGGGGTTCAGCATAGACAAATGCAGGGTGCTGCACCTCGGGAGAAGGAATCCACAGCATACGTACAGGCTGGGGAGTTCTCTTCTTGAAAGCGCAGAGGCGGAAAGGGATCTTGGAGTCATTATTGACTCCAAGATGAACATGAGC